TAAAGTTTATTTTTTATTCTTTTATTTTATTAACTATTTTCAACATTTGTTTGATAGTTTTTTTAAATTTCCAGACGGATTATGCCTATTAGGCCTATCTAACATATGTTGATGAGTGACACACGAATGGGTGTGTTGGACAATAAAGACATTTTTAAGAAAACATTCATTCATTGTTAAAAAAGGAAACAATACTTGTGTTTAATTTATTAGATAACATTTCATAAAGATAGTTCACAAGAGAGTCACTATGTAGAGTATAACACTCTAAAATCGGCTCCACTCAACATAAAAACATTCTCCTGCAAATTATATTTTTGCATTTCCCTTAAACAAGGACGACATTTATGTTACATATTACCAGGTGATTGTATGGAAACATAAGTGCAATCTATTGCTGCGATATCTCTAGAATATCTAGAAATTTCATAAAAGTATTCTTGGGTGATTTCTATATTCCTTGGAAATTCACGAACTCACTACACTTGAAACAGTATATTGCTCACTTCAATGAAGTCTCTTATTACGATAAAAAATTATCCCTTTGCAAAATAACGCAGAGTGAGATGAAGTTGCTTCATTGGTGATACTTCAGAATTACTAATAAAACACCAAGTATACATTTTATTATTTTGACATATAATAAATTTAACAGGAGCATTACATTACCAGGGCATTACAGAAATGTAAGTAGGTATTCACAAATCATTTGTTTTTATTTTCTGTTCTATCAAACACATAACTTTGTTAACTGTAGGCTTCCTTAGCCTCAAACGGGATTTGTAATCTTCTTCAAGGATCTCAAAATATTTCGGCCCACATGCAGTCTGGTCGGACGATCTAAACCATCAAAGAATTCGTCTCTAGCAGCTGTAAATGTCTCTGTCGACATTTCGGTATGAAGGGCCCACAAACCATGGATTCTGGTTACTCCACGTGCTACTGGATTGTTTTCTTAAATTAGCAACTGGATTTATACACTTTTCGGTGCCAGAGCCATGTAATAAGAATTTTTCGCCGCCTAACGTCCGAATAAGACACGACCAAATAAGAAGTCTTCTTCGTACAACGGCCAAAAGAGAAGTTAGTTCTTGCATCCGGTAGAGAATCGTCTACACCTCTGCTCTCCTCACCCTTTTTTACAAGTGTTCTAGATCGCACTGAAAATTAATGAACTCGCCTAGCTATTGGTACAAGCTAACTACGCCGCAATTTAACCTCGGCCAATCGTAGAAGTAACCTTAAGGGTTCCTTCTGGAAAATTCCATTATCTCCATCCTTGTTCCTCTCACTGTTTATTACATGTATGTGGTTTCAGAGCTTAGGTGGCCGTCGTCACGGTGGCTCAATCCATTACTATGGTTAATTCTCGCCTGGTTCGGCGGACGGGCGCTTGAGAGGGATGGGCAAAGGGTGCAGTCGCCTTCTTGCGCGGCCTGTTGTAAGCAGAGGAAATGGAGCCTCGCCGGGTAGGCGTGCCTTTTACTTTACGCGCAATTTTCATTCAACGCTCTGAAATTTTTAAAAATCGGGAATTTTAAAACGTTTTTAGATACATAATTTGAGAAATTATGTGCTGTCGTCTTAGCACTAGTTGCAACATTTGTGTTATGCGTGGAGATTAAAGAAAATTGTACAATATTTTTACTTGTGTGGAAATTAAATGAGAGACATAAATGTTTAAAAAAGATCATATTGTACAACAGCTTTCGAATACAAGCGTTACGTTTAATGAAAAGCAAAATGGTAGGTACTGGTATTTCGGTTTTTTATCCAAAATGACAAAGAGTGAAGAAAAGAATTTCTAAGAGAATTTTTCAAAACCAAGATTTAAGCACACATTTTATGAAATTAACTAGATTGTTAACTTGATAATTTTTATTACTCAAGAAAGTAAATAAAGACAACAAAAATATAGAGTGCCTTTTTAAATGCCTATTTTACACGTTGAAATGCTTACTTTTCATTTCTCAAAGCCTCTTTTTCATTTTTAAACGTCTATTTTCAGTTTTTGGTACCTGTAAATCCGCATCTTAGTCATGATCAAAGACATCAAATACTTGCAAAAGATCTAAAAATATTCCAATAGGCGTTTCATCTTGATAAACTGTTAAAGCGCTATTTAATGTAATTATAGCAGTTTCCGTAGATATTGATTTTCTACGCCCATGTTGCCTATTTGTATTCGCCTAGTATTTCATGAGAAATGTTTCTATTCGTATGTAGAAAGGATTATCTAAAATTTGAAAAAGAATAAACTACAAAAGAAAGTAAAAGGATGATTTGCTGTCTTTGGAGATGCTTCTGTTCTATCTGCATTAGATGCATGAATAATTTAACTTGGACATCAATACAGTTAAGGTCACACAACGGAAGAAGTGAAGTAAATAATATTTAGTTTATTCTCATTACATAGAGTGTTTATTACATAAAAAATACAGGAAACAGAGTGTATATTAACACAACTCATAACAAAAATAGAAAGGAACATTTATTCAAAACTATGCGTGGAAACAATTTTGTACAATTAATGACAAAACTGCAAAACATAAGACTAGAACTGTAATTAAAATTAGTTAGAAGGCCTCAAGTATTTTATAAAAACATATTGAAAAAGAAAGAAATTTCTTTTTGTTTTTGTAATGAATATTAAACTTATTATAACATCTGTGCTAAAGTGAAATAAACATTACGCTAAATGTCTAAATTTAACCCGGGAGTGCGCGCAATAAGTTGACTCCCGTCTCCCAGAATGTCTCTCTCAGATACCTCTGCCACTTTTTGTTAATGTGAATGATCTGACGTTCTATTTACTGAAAAACGTATTTAATTTAGATTGTACATGTCCCCCAACCATGGCCAACTTTTGGTTAGATGGGGCACCTATTCTCTCAGAAATGTGGGGCCCCTAAGTATTGTGAGAAAAATATATTATGTAATTTTCTTATAATTTATTCTGAAAAGTTACTACAAAAATTAATGTGTGTGTTAATCCTTTCTTTTATGTTAAGCAAACGGAATGTATTAAGATGATTTGAGGTATGGGGATCATTTGAACCCCATTAGGGTTCAAATGGTTTTATAATGCTTCCCATTAGAGAACAAGTATTCATTAGAAGTATTGTTTGATAATATTTTATCATCTGCGGGGCCCCTGAATCATGAGACCTGAGGAAAAAACCTTGTCAGTCTGTGCCCAAAGACAGCCCTGCCCCATATGCAATTGATAATGAATCCTGCAGAAAACTTGTCGGAATACTTATGGTGCGAAGGGTAAATTGCCAAAATAGGCTATACGCAAAAATATTAAACATCATTTATCTTATTAAATAATATTAAATATAATTTCTGAAATGATTTTGGCATGTTCTAAACAAAAACATATTTTACATTTTTCACAAAAATATTTAGAAATTTGTTTGCCTTTTTTCCACTTTGAATACGTAGGTCGTTCATAAAGTTGGTACCTTTAAACAGAAGTAGTATGAATTTTCGAATGGTTGTGCATGCTCCTATGTTGGACCGCTTGATAGCTTCCCTTGGCGTAAACAATCAAGATGGCTGACTTTGCCATATAATGTCTGCGCGTGTGCCGTGTTTCGTCATTTGCATTTGCCAGATAAATTGGGAAGGAAGTTCGTGAGGTGGCGAAGGTATGCGGGGATTTTGCTCCAACATATGAATCGGTAAAGAAGTGGAAAAGGTTGTTTCAGCGTGGGCACAAAGAGCTGGACGACATACGACGAAGCAGTAGACCGTGTTTGATGGAGGAACCACAGATCATCAAACTGGTAGAAAATTTCATGTTATCTGAAAGGCGGATTACCATTCAAAAACTTGCTAGAGAGGTTACCATTAGCCAAGGATCAGTGCACATCATCTCGCATGACGAAAGTGTCGGCCTCATGGGTCCCTCGTCTACCCATTCAAAGGGAGTAGCGCGTGACATCCGCGGTGGCGATGTTGCAAACGTGCAATGACCAAGACGAGTTTTTCAACAGTCTTATCACAATGGACAAATAATGGGTTCAGCATTACGACACAGAAACAAAAATGAGTAAACAATTGAATGACGCCGCTGCTTCCACCTAAGAGAGCACAAATGCAATCCTCGTCTGAGCAGGTGGGGGCTGTTTTTTTGGATTGTCACAGTGTCGTCCTAACAGATGCCTGAAAAGGACAGACGATTCCAACGCAGCATTGTCAAGAACTATTGACACAACGGCGGTAAGAGGTCAAGTGGAAAAAGCGAGGAATGATCGCAAGGTTGGCAACCCTGAATGGCAATGCCACTGCTCTCACCGCTCAAGCAGCTGCCGCCCGTTGTTCGCACCTACGCTGCCATCCGCCTTATACGCCAGGTGTTGCACCGGGCGATTTCTTTCTTTGTAGAAAGTTGAAAGAATCGCTGCGCAAGCAACGTTTTGCCACTGATAATAATTTAATGCTGTGAGGGAATACGTTTTAGAGAGCCAAACGCACAACTTTTGACAATGTCAAAAGACAAGTTATGCATCGCTGAAAAATGTGCGGACTTGTACGGATCTTATTTGCAATCCACTCGTGAAATTAAAACCAATAGAGTTTTACTATACATACAAATGCCTCAAGCAAAGCGGTGTATCTCAACACTTGTATCGCTTTTTCTATCCGATATTTCTTACCGCTTCTGACTCTGCTCTGAATCGTCTATCTTGGGCGGCGGCATGATATACAGCGATCGCTAAGCCTATGTCCAATAAACAGTGTATGCACTACAACATAACCTGCGATGTTAACATACGTTTCCAGTTATTTTCAATATTTGTCTCACTTTGGAGTTCTATTGGATATTATTTCACTCTTGGAATAGTCCTTTTAAATACGGGTAGGGAATTTATCGACAATTTCCAAAGTACTCGTATTACTAATGAAAAGATTCATAAATTTGCAAAAGCTGATATTAATATCTTATCTGCCCAATGGCACGAACTTTATGAATCGTATTAAGAAGTAAATGACTAAAAAAATCTGCTGAAAGCAGCTTAAATATACCGCGTCAAAAAACTTCGAAACGAAGGATTGAATGTTGAGACTAAGAAGGACCTTCCCTTATCCTTAATCGGGGTGCGGTTTTTCTGCCATGCTGCGCGGCGGTCCCTCGGTTTTGCCAGTTACTCCTTTTCGAGCAGTTTCGTCGGCTCTGGGCTCTTGTTTTCTGTTTCTTGGAGAGAACTCGGTCTGGCTGTGGAACGGCTAGGGCTGCCAATTCAAGTCCGTGCTCAGTGTAACTTTTTTCTACTCTGTCAAGTCTACGCACCCGGCAACTGACAGTTTGAACATCTACTCACAAACCACGTCGCCAGTTACTTAATTGCGAAGGCTCTTGAGGCCGAGTGAATCGTGTCCTAGAGGGCTGATGATGGAGGTCTTGAAGTCCATAGCGAGCTCCTTGTGGGCTGCCTCCAGCGCTGCGTTGACCAGCGCCGCCGTCTGGCGCTTGCTGGGCAGCGTGTAGTGGTCGGCGCCTTCCACGTAGTGCACGCGCACCGGACGCTCGCAGATCTGCAACGCAACGTGCATCAGCGCGCTCGCTCGGATCTCCTTTTTCCACCCGACACCCTCCACACCCCCAGGTAATACACACACATTTTTTTAAAGCACGATAAACCTTTCGCATGATGACAAACTCTTAATCGCAAGTAGAATAACACACCCGTGATTTTGAAACAAACAGGCTTGAGTATCTTTGCTGGTCTTCCTATTCTCTTACATAGGAGTAGGTCAATTGTACTCGTGCTGCGGCGTGCGGCGAGGCCGCCTGAAGCGCTCGTTCCTAAGCAGTTCCTTGGATCTGCTACTAGATTGCGCTTCAACCCTTCATGACTGCGGAAGTACTGAGGTAATAAATACTTAATCGAAATGAAAGAAATATGGAACTGACGATTCGAAATGGGCATTATCACCCAGATGTGTCGTAAAATACTGTAACTACTGATGTAAACACTGGTAGTTCCAGAATAGCTCTGTTCCAATATTTTCTCGATTGGTTCAGAAATGCATAGACATAGAAAAGTCAAAAAGAAAGCAATGGTACCGCTCCCAAAATTTATTAGAAGATTAAAGAATATAGTGTGGTCCTCGGAGACAAGAAAAATATGAAATATTCAATCAATATAAACGAACTAGAACAGCAGCACATTTTCCTAACGTATTATTGTGTTCATATATCGTGAGTATAATAATATATAATACTTTATATTGACTTTAAGAATTCTTGCTAGTATAAACAATCAAATATAAAAAGAATTAATGAAAAGTAGACGAAAACAGGTTGAAATAAAAAGCACGTATTTTCGTTTCCCTCATAATAAAAAAATTGTATTTTTCAAAACTTATGTCCGTCCGTCCGTACATGCGTCCGTCCGTTCGTCCGTGCATCTGTGCGTGCGTCCGCAATTCTTAGTGTGCGCGGCTAGCTTTTACATAGCCATCCGTGTCTTCAGCCTTCCTTTTACTATTATCAATATCCTCGCATTACTCATATCACATTAACATCGTTTACAAACCACGTTCATCCAACGCTGAAATAGCGCATTCGATAAGAATCAAAGTAAGGAGAGAGAAAAGAGCTGTACCTGCGAGAGGCCGTAGTCTTCGGGGAGGAAGCCGGGCGGCAGCGCGGAGACGGCGGGCCGGATGAGCGTGACGGAGGCGCGCAGGCGCGGCCGGTCGGACGGCCAAGTGTAGCGCAGCGCCGACAGAATGCGCGCGTACAAGGCGTCCAGCGCCGCCATCTTGTACTCTGTGCTGAAGTCCATGACTGGGGTGCTTTCCGCGAAAAGTCGCAGGCGTGCGTCCCAACTGTCCTGCGCGCGCAGCTGCTCTCGAAAATCCTGCACACAAAAAACAACTTAGAAGGAGGATTGCAGAGCAAAAATGACCATTTTCTGTGCGTTAAAATAATATGTCCAACCAAATAAAACGAATCAGCCTAGAACATACTTTAAAGCTGCTTCATATGACAAATCTATTGCGCGAGTTGAGATTTTCTCAACATATAGTGCGCTCGTGCATTAGAAGTTACCATTAAATTATCTCAAAACGCACTATCACACCAAGTAACACACTCGGAAACTAAAACCCCCTGCAGACAGACAACACTTAGGCGAAGGATTGCAAAGTCATAATGAGAGATTTCCGTGCCTTACAATTATATGTTCATCCAAATCAAACGAATCAGCATAGGACATAGTTTAAAGCTGATTTATAAGACAAATCTATTAGGTAAATTGAAACATTTTCTCAACATATAGAGCACTGGTCGTTACTTAGGCGTACACAACCTCATATTGTTCCACATCCACCTTTCTCACTCGGCATAATTAAATATATTCGGAATCCCCATTACTCAAGAAACGTGAGTCCAGGATTCAGAAAAATGTCCTGTGTAAAATTTAAACATCAACCCTCTTGTAATGGCTGAAATTATTAGAATATAATTTATATATAATATATATATATATTATATATATATATAGTATAATATATATAGTATGAGAGAGAGAGAGAGAAGATGAGAGGAGATGATGAGAGAGAGACATACCAATAGTGCAGATCAAGGATTATATTAAGATAGTTTTCTCCACGGAAAGGAAGTAGGTCACAAGATTGGGCTACCGTCACAAAGGGTTCTTTTCAACGGGCCAGACGCTCGCCCGTCGTCAGCTGCCCCGCCCGCCCGCCAAATAGGGTGCTGTTCGCAGCACACTTATTTACGACAAGCTGCCCGCTCGGCGCTCGCCCGTCGCACGACCCTCATCGGCTGCCGATCCGCAGGGAAGACCTCCCCCCCCCTCGGAAAGCCCCCGCGCACTTAGCAAAACAATGACCGTCCGCGTCTTGGCCCGGAGACAGACCCTGCCCGCCGGCCAATTGGCCACGCGCCCGCACAAGGAGTCTCCCTACAACAGTTCCGGAAATCCCAAAGGTATTGTTTATAGCTGGCCCATCGTCGGAATTAGAGAGAGAGATCGCCCTGGAAAATTCCAGGAACAGTACGTCCCGATTGGGTGACATAAATTTGCGACGCATATATTTCGGCCTACGAGACCTCTCCCCGTGAGGGAAGGGGCAAAGCTACAGGTCCTGAGACGTTTTCGGGAGGGGGAAACTGAGGCGAGCTCGGCCGGGAGCTGAGTAGAGAGAGAAACATTACATTACCGATCGTGACTGAGAGAAACATGACGTTAATGATCAGGACTTGTAGGAGAAAACACGTGGCTCTTAGCTAAGACTCGGTCGAGTGAGGAACATTGTTAATTTCGGCTCGTATGGCTGAACTTTGCCACCGAGCACGATTTTTCACCGAACAAGACCCGCGCAGACTACGCGTCAATCAACGTTATGTATGGTATGGTGGATTGAGCGAATTCACGGGCTGACGGCATCATCATATTCAGGGAAGTGGACATCCCTAGATATTACCCCGCGCTTGCAGAATAAAGGAGTATATTTATGACAACGCCAAGCACTGTAATGAATTTGGTAAATAACGTGGATACCCATGAAAAGATTAACGTGCTCACTATGAATGAGAATTGGGTAAATATATTTTTACTGAGTGTGAATGTGAAGTTCGATTCATTTTCTGGTGTTAAAGGGTATGTTTTATTTTGTGTTGTGATTTTTATGGGCAGCGTTATACATGAAAGTGGAGACGGCGCAGACAAACCCGCCATATAAATAAATGGTACTATTAATCACGGGGCTGAATATATTAATATTAAAATAATGAAAAAGATAATTTCCATAGCCTGTAGAGGTAGGGACCTCAGTCCCCCGACACTAATACAAATTTTTCAGTGATAAAGCTGCTCGTGCCGGAAAGATTATTAAAATTCATGGATATCAGGTAAAGTAAATAGTAGATGTAACTAGTAGTGCAACAGAATTGCTCAGACTTTCCCGTATTAATAATCTACTTTCTTTAGTCTCGGTTATCTATTCGGCTAGTTACTCGGACATGCTCTTGCAAGCTGCCATCTATCGCCACCAAAAGTACATTTTTTGAAATTGTCTTAATTTTTGGGTTTCCTAATTGAAGATTAAAAATATTATTTTATGACCATTAAATGACAGTAGACGTTGAGTTTGCGAGAAATTTTATATTACATTATTTAAAGCACATCTCATAAATACAATAATGTGAATTAGTTGCCGCTAATATTAATATTAAGGACATGAGAAGCAAGAAAATACAAATTTTGTATTTTTGAAAAACAAAAGAATACAGCAATATGGCGTTTATGTACTCTAATTTTCCGCATCATTACATAACTTTCCCTATACTACGTATATTACTCGCATTTAGTACGCATATGGGAAAGCAAAAATAATAATAAATATAGAGGTCCGACGGGACGTGACGGAATGAACTCGGGACTTTAGGAGTTTCAAAAAGATATTTTGATTTTTGAGGGTACTTCACATAAAGCCTTAAACATATTTTCAAAATTCTCTCAAAAACTGCTCCAAATTTAATAATAATGAAATTTTGATGTTGAAAAGTACGAAAGTCGTTTAAGATAATGGTTTAAATATTTTTTGTTCACATTCCCAATTTTTCGAAAATTGCAAAAAAAAGTTTTAAAACTACCAAATTGAAGAAAGAGGATTGTGTGCACGTTCCTCGTCCATCGTGCTCAGGCCGCCTGGCACTCCGTCCTCGTGCCACGTCTCCGCTCCTCGTGACTTCAGTGTCGCTCCGTCTCTCACTCTCGTCCCTCGTCACGTCTCCGTCCTCGTGCACGTCCTCCTCCGTGCCGTCGGCCGTGCACGTTCTCCTCCTCGTGCACGTCTCCGTCCTCGTGCACGTCTCCGTCCTCGTGCACGTCTCCGTTCCTCGTGCACGTCTTCCGTCCTCGTGCACGTCTTCCGTCCTCGTGCACGTCTCCGTCCTCGTGCACGCTCGTCCTCGTGCACGGTCTCCGTCCTTCGTGCACGTCTCCGTCCTCGTGCACGTTCCGTCCTCG